TGAATTTCAGGCTTTCGGCCTGAAACAGCCACGGGGCCTGTAAGCCCCGGATTTCAGGCTTTCGGCCTGAAACAGCCACGGGGCCTGTAAGCCCTGGATTTCAGGCTTTCGCATGCATGTGTGCAGGCACAACATGTAACACCCCCCCCTCCTTATGAAGTCAAGCCGGGGCGAGGGCGAAGCCGACGATCTGAAGGTGGAACCTAGACGCGTGCGCGGCGTGGAGCTGAAGAAACCGGCTTGCCTTGCATCTTGCGTTCGTAGCGTGCGAGAACGTCTTGAGCTGTTGCTTGAAGTTCTGCACGGGTCAACCAACGGTCAACTCGGTGTGTGCAGTATGCAAAATGCACTAAATACTCAGTTGGCTTGTTATCGTAGCGTCGCTGGGAGATGATGTCGCCGACCTCCTGAAAACCATCCATAGAAGGTGGATCCTGCGTACGTCTCCCGGGAAAATCATCATGTTCCGCAGGCGTGTACAGAGCCAATTTGGAACAATGAAAGACTGGGTAGACGGGCAAGTGGCTAAGCACCTGAATCGTGAAGGAAGGCCCCTCAGGTGCGTCCCCAGCGGGCTCGATGATCGGCCAAGGCCCCATCCATTTCGGAAGGAGCTTGCGAGAGATGTCCTGTTCAAGGCTGAATTCCGCTGCTCAAACCCAGACAAGGTCTCCGACGCGGAATGGACAAGGAAGACGCTGGCGATTTGCCTGTTAGCGCATGCGCTGTTGCGTCTTAGCCATCTGGTCGCGTGCCTTGACAATGAGCTCTTGCATCCAACGCAAGAAAAGAAGATGGTCGTCGCTCTCGGCCGTGCGTGGAGTAATCGTGTCCAATGGTGACGTGACCGGCGAGCCGTGCTCGAACTCGAAGGGCGATATCCCAATAGCCGGGTGGATAGAAGAGTTGTAGGCCAACTCAATGTCCGGCAGTTGCTCAACCTAGTCTTTCTGGTCGGGGCGGATGAGAGTGCGAAGGAGAACCTGTGTGGTCCGATGCGCCCTCTCCGTCTAGCCATCGGTCTGAGGGTGGCGAGATGAACTGGGCTTGAGAGATGAGCCCCATCACTTGATGAGCGCCAACCAAAAATCGGACATGAACCGAGTGTCGCGGTCGCAGACGATCTCCTTGGGGTAACCCTTGGTGCGAATCCAACCGGCGTACAGAACCTTGRCCAACTYCGGTGCYTTGGCATGATAGCGACAAGGCAAAAACATGGCGAACTTSGTGAGTCGGTCRAMCACCGTGAGAATCCCATCCACTCCGGTCTTGYGCTTGGGGAACGGGCCGGTGATGTCCATGGCAATCGCTTCCCTTCGCCTCAACGGGACYGGCAATGGTTGTAGCTCGCCGTACGGACGATGGTTGCGGGATTTGCAGCGTCGGCAAACCTCGCATGACTCGCAATAACGTGACGTCGCCGAGAAGGCCGGGCCACCAAAATCGCTGGCGAAGTCGGCCAATCGTGCGATTGACTCCAAAATGTCCGGTGGCGGGAGCGTCGTGGAACTCGCCAAGAAGCCGTGTACGCAAGTGAGGATCACTTGGTACGCAAAGAAGGTCCTTCCCCCGTGTGTGGACAAGCAAGCACCCCTCCTAGATCCGGTAGTGAGAAGGAGCCGGATTAGGCGAGGAGCAATTCGCGTACTTGTTGCGAAACTCAGGGTCGGCTTGGTAACCGCGGATGAAGCTGTTTCGCAGGTCATCGTCAATCTCGAAAGTCAAGTAGACCGCGGTACAGTGATCCGGACGCCGTGAAAGAGCATCCGCAAAACGGTTCGACTTCTCGGGAATGTGATAGGGATAGAAGTCGAACTGGTCGATGAAAGTCATCCATCGAGCGATGGTGCTGTTGACGGTGTCTTGGGTCTTGTAGAAGACCAACGGATTGTTGTCCGTTACCCAGCGAAATTGGCTTCGACCAAGGAGGAAGTGCCGCCACCGCTTGCGCGCGTGGACGAAGGCAAGGAGCTCCTTCTTGCGTGCATCGTCAATGGAATGCACGAGTGGCACTTTCTTGCTGAAGTACTCGACCGGGTGTCGGTCCACACCATCATGTTGCTCGAGGACTGCACCAATGCCATAGCCTGACGCATCCGTAGTGACACGTGTAGGCGCGAGCGGGTCGTATATCCGCAAGACCTCCGCAGACAATAGCGCGGCTTTGAGAGTGAGGAATGATCCCCGCGCCTCCTCTCCAAAGTCAAACGGCCGATCCTCGCACTGAAGCTTGTTCAAGTGGGCCGCGATCTTGGAGTAGCCTTTGATGAAGCGCTGATACAAGCCGGTAAGACCGAGGAACGAGTGGACATCCGTGACGTTTCGAGGCTCCGGCCACTCTTGGACGGCCTGAATCTTGTCCGATAGCAGACTGATGCCCTCCGGTGTGTCAAAATGGCCCAAGTATTACAGCCTCCTGCCGGACAAATTCGCACTTGTCGCGGTTGGCCTTGTACTTGGCACGGCGAAGCGTCTCCAACACTCGTCGAAGATGTGCAAGATGATCCTCCAATGTCCGGCTGTAGACGAGAATATCGTCTAAGTAGACCAGCACGAACCGCTCCAACATTGCACGGAACTCATTGGTCATCGCCGCCTGGAATGTCCCCGGGGCGTTGGTGAGGCCAAAAGGCATGACCACCCACTCAAAATGCCCGTACCGCGTCTTGAATGCGGTTTTATAGCGATCATTCGGCTGAATCGAGATTTGATGATATCCCGATTTCAAATCCAACTTGGAAAAATACTTCGCACCGCCCAGCCGCTCGAGAAGATCGTCGATGCGAGGAAGAGGCCTCGCATTCTTGACGGTTTGCGCGTTGAGCTTGCGGTAGTCGATACACAATCGTAGATCCTTGTTCTTCTTCCTGACGAAGAGAACTCGTGCTCCATATGAGGAGCTACACGGGCAGATTCAGCCCTTGGCCAACAAATCATCGAGTTGTGCACGGAGTACCTCAAGCTCCTCTTCGCTCATCTGATAGATGCAACCTTTCGGCGGCACGGCACCGGCCTCAAGAATGATCTCGTGAGAGATCGGCCGACCCGGCACCACACCGGTAGGTGACTCGAAGATGTCGGCGAACTCGTCTAGCAACCGTACCACACGGGGGTCCGAAGACAAGTCTGTGGGTGAAGAGTCAGCTACCGCGACGGTCAGTAGGAAACATATGCCGATCTCCTCAGGCTGCTTGTAAGCACAAGTCGCCCGGAATGATTTGGTCGTCACCACTTGGCACCGGATCGAAGAGTGCGGTAGAGGAATCGTACATGCCACTTCCGCACCGAAGGCGTTGCGAACGCTAAGAGTCCGCCGATGAAAGTTGATCGTGTGATCCGCACTTGCAAGCCAAGGTATTCCCATAATGATGTCAAAGTCCGTGTCGAGAATATCGAACGTCACCGGTTCGCATGCATGAGGTGCGAAGTAGACCGGTACGGCCTCGATGTAACGGTCGAGTAGTTGCTGCGTCTTTCCATCCGCCAACTTGATCGCCGTCGGGTTTGCCTTTCTCCGAACTTGTGCGCCAAGGCCAGCTCTTTGCATAAAAGACTGGCTCATGAAGTTGCGAGTCGTGCCGCTATCCAGCAAAGCACTGCAGGACGCTTGCCCAACCTGGATGCGGACATACATGAGCGGTGCATTGTTGTTATCGTACCGCTGCGTGCAAAACTCGCGGGTCACCTTGGTAACGTACGCCAGGATGTCCCCCACCGCGACTTCGTCATCCATCGGCGAAGTTGGTGGTGCATAGAAGGAAAGGTAAGTGTGGAGATGAGCGCTAACTGCTGCGCATTGCGGTCCCAACAAACAGCCGGTGGTCGGGAGAGGAAGCCATGCAAAGTCCTCAGAAGTGAGCGGGTCCAAAACCTCTATCTTGAACTCGCGCGCCGAATCCCGTGACGAACCACTTGAAGATGATATGTCGCTGTTGTCGGACGGAGAAGAAACCGCACACACTCCTTATCCTTGAGCTTGAGTACCCAGCGTTGGAACGAGCTGGGCAGCATAGTCCTCAAAAGAAAATAGAAGCGGAGGACTGTCGACTTCCGCGTGCACCTCGGAATRAAGGCTGGTCACTCGCGAAGAAACCAGTTCCGAAGGCGTCGAGAGTGTCGTCGCATCACTCTCGGCGGTGCTCAGTTTCCCTGTCGACCCTTGCCCTTCAGTGGGCAAACCGGCGTCAGATGAAGATCGTTGTTGCACCACAGGCAATAACGGAATCTCTCGCGCGCCTTGTATGCGGACTCGGAGAGGCCATATGGGGTCCATGGGCCTACCTGAGCTGCTGCACCGGGTCCGGGGCTAGAAACGGTGTGTGTCTTCGGCTTGCCGCGCCCTCGGCCTCTGCCGGCGCGGCCACCTTCCCGGGCGGCTGCGAATATGTCTCCTTCACTGGCAGACGCAGCCTCGCTGGTTTGGTCTAACGGCGCTGCCGCTGCGACCACGGCCACTCGTGGCCGATGCTGGTTCCCGCTCGGGCCTGACGCAAAAGAACGGAGGTTCTTGGCCTCCTTGTTCGTAACGATGATCTGCGCAGCCTTGTCGAATAGTTCCGCTGTCGTCGTCAAGGTGTCCTCGACATGCGTCAGGGCATTGCTCAATGTCGGACATGACCTTGATGGCCTTGAAGCCCATCTGGATGTCTGGGACTGACGCCAAGCATTGGTACTCGGCGATCCAGTCCGTACTCGGCAGCGAGCCTTGCTCGAAGACCATAAGCTTGTCCATTGCTTTGATCTCCGGCGGCTCCACCTGGAACCGCTTGTGCCACGCCGCCTTCAGATCATCCCAGCTGATCATGGTGTGCAAACCCGCTGCTACCACTCCGTACTTGGACAACAAGTTGTCCACCCACGCCTGACACGCTCCCTCTGAGCGAGAGTACAAGTAAGCGTGGTGCTTGTTTTCCTTGACGTTGTGGAGCTGCAGCGTGCGCTCAAACTTGCGAAACCATGGAATCGGATCTGTTTTGATTGAGTCGTGGAAGATCTCCTGCCCATCGAACTTAGGAGTTGTTTTGCGCGGCTCCGGACTCGAGGTGGTGGCGGTAGTGCAGATCCGCTGCTGCAATTGTTGCATCGCGGTCTGCTGTAACTGTGCGCCATCCTGGAGGGAGCCGACGTGCATCTCCAATGCGGTGAGGCAGTCGGCAGTATTGGAAGAGCCTGCGTCGGCGGCAGCGACTGGTCGCTGCTCCACCCGCTGAAGGCGGTCTTGAAGCTGAGCTACCGAGTTGTCGAGACCAAGGATCTCCGCCTGCTGTGTAATGCAGGTTGCCAGGAGATCCGTGAGATGCGAGAGAAGGAGCGCTATCTTGTTTGCGCTGTCCTCCAACTGGCTGTTCTCGGCCTCGCTTCGCCATTCTGCTGCCATGGTAAGTAACGCCCGCTCTCCGATGAATCTCTTCTCACGACGCTGTGTTCTTTCTTCATCAGCAGCCGTTGTTGCTGCCTCGTCGTACTGGCGCTGTTGTTGCACGGCCAACAGACGTGCCTGCTCGGCATCCTCTGCCTTCTTCTTTGCTGCCGCCGCAGCGTCATCTGCTCGCTTCTTTGTCTCGGTACTCCAGGCTAACATGCGGGCCTGATAGGCCTCGTCTGTTTCCCCGGCCTTCTGATCCATGACTGTTGTCTTTGAACGCAACAGCATAGACCAGACCGATGTCTGCTGATGTGGTATCCCTTGCTGCTGACGTGGCAATGCTGACGTGTCATGCTGACGTGTCCTGCTGACGTGGCCTGCTGACGTGGTCTGCTGACGTACTTATGTAGGCTGCTGACGTGTCCTGCTAACGTGGTCTGCTGATGTGGCCTGCTGACGTGGCAACTTACCAATGCCGTCACAAGGGGTACCCAGAGACAACCAGAAACGGCAAGGCGAGAGATGGCAACAACGTAGGTGGGGAGGGGTGGGTGGGATAATCGCCCAACTCACACTTAGATAAGGAGCCACTAATCAAACTAGAAAAGTTTGAACTTTGCAAAAAAAAATTTGAGAAATTAAAAAAATAAAAATCCCGATTTTTGCAAGTTCGGTAGGTCTCCCAATCTCCCTTGAAGTACGAAATGATCTCTGAAAGCGGAAAAAAAAAAAATTCGACTTTAGACTGCAACTGATTTATAGAACCAACTGACAGAATCTAAGAACTGCGAAAAAAGTCCGAACATAAATGACAGCTATTCGGATTTATTCCAATGGGAATATTCCCAGTTTGAGAAAAAAAATAATACATGCAGAAGGTATTTCCCGTACCGTTTTCAGAAAAACGAATTTCAGACAAGAAGATATTCCGAAGTTCTAAGTACGGAAAATGCAACAGAAAATCGAAACTTTCAAAAAGAAATATATTCCGGATTTTTAACAACGAAATTTCGAATTTTCAGAAAGAAAAACGAAAATATGAATTTCAGATGTTACGATATAGCAGAAAATAAAATCCGAGAAAAGAAAAAAATTTCGATTTTGTTTTTTGTAGTAAGGTCAAGATCGTGATTTTGGGGTCTAACTAGCATGTCCTAATCAACAGAAAAGACTAACTAGCTTTCTTGATCCCCGCACACGTGTCAGATCAGATAGTCCTGATTCACGTGCAAAAGCTCCAATACCAACTATTATATGCACAGATATGCAATGTACGTAATAAACCGAGAATCTGCAATGTGATGAAAAGGACTGAATAGACAATGCGGTACGAGTAGAATCTCGACAAGCAATGTACATTCTCATTCATACATAAAGATGCTGAAGAGCGCAGGGAAGACTTTGATACAAAGACTGACCTGACAGGACTCACCTCRTTCACGTARTTCAGAGTAACGAAGCAGAATGCTAGAGTACCTCTAACTAGCCCAATCAATGTTTGAACTCAGACTAAACATGCATTGTATCCATCACGAAGTGTGAAGGAGCCTGGCGCTGCACACARGAAGAAASCGSCAGRTCCAGACATACACARACGAAAAGATAAGGGACAGACGAAAGGAGGGAAGAAGATRGGAATGTCRTTAACACCAAGTCTTGGTCACCAATCCCAAATAGTCCCTCRWTGCCATRTCTGAATCCCCGAAAGTCGAGTCYGGATCAAATGTCACCAAGCTCTGTATCTCTTCTCTCRTAGTCTRCAGATGYAGTGAAGTCAGAAGTGAGAGGGAGAGAAGAGATGGTGGACTGAGAAGAAGAAGAAGAACTCTCTCTCTCTCTCTGTTGCGARCCAAGTACTAACCTGTGATGTTGGCGCTGTGYTGCARGTACCTCGAAGAYGAAGCTGGAGCAACGGCGCTGCAGGTAGGTACCTCTGRCCTCCGCCCAAGCTCTCTCTCTCTCTCTCTAGYACTAACTAGCTATGGCGCCCAGCGCTGGAGACTACAGCTACCTACTGCGCCCAGCGCTGAAGACTACAAGCTAACGCTACTACTCTACACTGCAGCGCTCCCTCCAGAGTGCTGCTCCCGAATCCT